TTAGAATACGAATACATAAACGAAATAGAGAAAATGACTCACCGGTTCTATGTGCACGTTCAACTGAACAATATCGCAACTCTTTTGAAAATATGTCTTCGAAATCAAAGACTTCCGCCCTCGATTTTGTACTGAACATGTAACCCTTGGATTTCGAAAATGCAGGAAAAAGAGAGCATCATATATGATTGTGTATAACAGATTGTACACATTCTAATTCGTTGTCATACACTAAAGGTAAAAGTTTCTACAATATACCTTAATATTGGACGGTATAGCAACGTGCGCACTAACTGCTGAATTACATGTAATTATATAAAGTAATAGATAATTATTTAAGCTTTCCATAGAGGTATAACATGTGGTTCTAGGTGATCGTAATAGTTGTATATGATCGTTTGAATATGAAGTAATTCAATGTATTTTCCCATGACGTTTCCGGAATAAACGTAATTGGGTCTACGCATAAATTGTTGACGTCATAGTACAACAACGTCATGATAGGACATTTCAAAACCACGCTGAAATCTTGGCCTGACAGAAAATCAGGGTTTTCACTGTTGCAAGACCTGAAATGCAACATGCATATTAGTTTTTTTTGTTTTGTTATAATATATCAACCGAATTCGAGAAGTATAGAGTTGAAAATCGTCTGTCCATATTGTCTTCAATAATGTATGTGTATGACACTGAACAACTTAACATTTAAATAAAAAGAAAGATCGCAAATAGTGTAGGGTCCGAAAAAAGTATGTTTCAGGTAGCATGACTAATAAAATGTATTACCTGTAACTGAGCGAGATCGAGGTATCTCAGTCGAGGTTTAAGATTCTGTAACAAAATTCCAACCGAGGCGTAAGCCGAGGTTGGGATGTTACAGAATCTTAGCCCGACACTGAGATAACCCGATCTTGCTCAGTTACAGGTAATTGATTTTTTTTTCTCGCACCTTTTAGTTAAAAAAAACTATTTAATTTTGCTAAAAACTACAAGTGTCCTGCCTTGGGCCTCAAATAATAATGACCTCTTCACTACTTAACCTTTAGGCTGCCAAATATTTGACTCAGCCACTTTGAAGTATCCACAACTGTTTTGCCAACTTTGACGTCCAGCCAATTATGATGTCAAAGAATTGTTGACGCTATGTTAATTCCGACGTCGCGAAAATCGCATGATTGTTGCGCAAACAAACATTACCTTTATAACGTCAGCAATTGTACGGCGTTCGAATTATTTGATTTTTTTTTTCTGTGCAGTTTTGATTCATGAGTATAATATGTTAATGGAACATCGTATTTTTTTAAACCTCCAGAGTGTCAAGCATTTGGATTTTACGTTCACGACGTAATCTTCTAGTGAACATAATGTGACGTATTTGCAATACTGACATCATCAACAGCGATTTATTGAATAGATGCTCTTGGTACATAATGTATTTTGACAAGTTACCCAACCATATTGATCAAACAGTGACAAAAACTAAATATAAAAAACCTGATAAGCTAAATAGACTGTTATTAACGTGCCATAAGTAAAACAATATTTCATAAATTGCTCAGCATAAATTTATTTCCAGATTGTCTTTCTAAAATTCTACACATGCGTTGTGCCTTTCGAGGCAGTGCCTATGGGGCCTCTTTTACATATGGAGCAAATTGTTCTGCTCCTGTGGCGCACACCTCTGCCATGCCGCACATCAGACATTCATGTCAATGGCACCCATATTACGGTTGTACGCAGTGACCATTCTAGGACGCCCACATGCAAGGTCCTGCGCTGGCAGGAGAGTAGAAAAGAGCCGCACCGGCTTTTTGCCCTCTACATCACGAGCTGCCAGACACAAGAAGTTGCCCTGTCTCATGTAGGCCCCTGGCTGCGGATCCGCATTCCGTATAGTCAGGGGCATCGGTCTGTTTTTCCATAGCGTACCTTCAATAAATGATATATAAATATTCTAAATATATCAGTATCATAAAAAAATCATTAAGTTGATTTTGTCAAACCTTACTTGTAAAGGAAATACTAAAAAGTGATGTCAACTCGGAGATGAAGCTCTTATTTGTTGTCTGCATGCCGATAACGTAACACGAACTACCGATTTTTTTTTTATAATTGTGAATCGCAAAGAAGCTCCGAAAAAAATAATACAAAAAGAAAACGCTCCTTGTGTTACATGTAGTGCGTGGGTTCAAAGTTTATAACACCTTAGTCTTTTTACCTTATTTTCAAAAGTCAAAATTAAGTGAGTTATATAGAGCACTATAACTGGACATAAATATTGACCCCTACCCGTCACATAAATATGGTGCTGCAGCAGTATGCTTGCAAGATGCATCGAAGTGAAGAAACTGTCAGCAAACACGTGGTAACCATGGCCAAGCAGGGACGCCTCGCTCAGTAGTTTATATACAACGTTACTGTCCTGTAGCTCCCCCCGCGGAGTTGGGTCGAATTCTCGGCCTCTGTATATGGACATTTGCAGAACGTACCATGACGCTGACTCACAGAGTATCCAAAACTTAATACCGTACTTCGGGGCCTTGGAGGGGATGTACTCGCGCATCACACTATGGCCTTTTGTGCTCACCAAGGATTCATCAACACACAATTCCCTCCTCGGTATGATGAAGCGCAGGAACTGTCTGTCGGCGAAGTTAAGCAGAGGACGAAATCTGGCGACAGGGTCGTAGGCAAGATTAAAAAATATAATAAAATCCAGTAAATCTTTTTGAACATCTTTTACTCGAGAGACGTTGTTTTCGTTAATATTCACAACAGCAGGATGTATGTCTACAGCGGCGTGACGTTACGTCATTTTATCTAGCACTTCTATCGGTCAAAATTTAAAATTGTGTCTATGTGAATGACGTCAAAGTATAAAATGTATTGGTCCATTGGTTCATTGATTGTGACACCGTTGTAAGCGTCAATCGCTTCTTGAGGCGCTTCTTAATTCTGTCCACTTCACTTCCGGTTGCATTAGGAGGTATTGAAGATGTATGCTAACTTGTTTGATGAAAAGTGATATCTAAATGACAGTTACACGGTAATAGTATAACCAATTAAATTATCATAAACTTGTCTGCGATATGGGATGTTTTTGCATGTGCGATACTGCGTATTGACTGTGCATAGTCGATATCGCGGACTGACCATGTCCGCCCGGCATGCGCCATATTTATCCACTACGCGCCTTATCGACCCGACATGCGCTATATTTACCCGGCACGCATCTCCGTTCCGCCATATCCGTTCAACTTCCCGCCCAATACTTTTCAGAAATATCATTAGATAGTGGGTGAAACAAACTAGTGTAGTGTATACACTGGGTATCCATCTGTTTTTGTTACGCTGTTCATTGCAATTTATTTTAGAGTATAGAATGTGATGATATTAAAAATTTAATATAAATCTGATGTGCGTTCTAGAAATAAAGAAACAAGTTTTTATCAACATATATCAATCAATCTTGTATGTCCAGATGGTATGATAGTATGACTATTTTGTTCAAAGAGGAGCGCATGAAGGGCATTTTATTCGAGTTATACATGTACAGTAAGCATTTGACTTCGTCTTCAAGAGAGTAGGGTATACATGTGTTATAAGTACTGTGCTGCACTGATAGCGCACACATACGCACGCGGACCTATTCACATTGTGTAAACATTCTTTGTATAAAACAGAATACAATGTGTAACAATGCATAGTCTATAATTTACTTAGACGACACTGTACTAACCTCTCTTCCAACCATGCGCCGGAAATCTGCGATATGTAGGAATTTCAAAATATTTTGAAATCCGCTGTTTTGAGCCATCGTGTGTGGAAACCAAGATGAACGTTGACTTGGTAGTCTTGAATTCAAGTTTTCGGGAATTGAAGGCTTTCTTACGATGGACAAGTTGTAAAATATTGAAAGAAATGCTTTCAATTCCAACCAGATATTTTTTTTCAAGGAAAGCGCCTTTGCATTATGTCCCAAGTTGTTCTGGTTTGTCTGCAGATGGTGGTGTGCATACCTAAAATGTCAAAGATATTTCAGTAACTTGTCTAACACCTAACATCCAGGGAAGACAACTTCATGCAATACTTTTCAATAAAACAGATATACCGATAGGTTTTTCAGGGGTCATACACATTTTGGAAGAAAAAGTAAAGGGTTATCAAGGATTTTTCAACTTAAGACATTTTTTATCAAATAAGTGCTAAATATTTTTTAAACTCCTGAACCGAACTCCGGTTTCATTTATCAGGTAAAACCGAAACTATTGATAAAATGATAAAATGTAAAATATAAAAATAAAAGAATATTTTAAACGAGAAATAACTTTATACTACAAAGCATCAGATAACAGTATACAAACAATGAAATTTAAGGGGTTTCAAGGACCTGAATTCATTTTTATGCAGTATACATGTAGTTGCCTTGTTTGTTCGTCCACCAATTTATTTGTATCTGGTGGACAGTTGATGAAGTTCTAGTGAGATAAAATTGTATGGGTCGGAGGTAAAAACTATGGTCGATCGCGGTACCTGAAACATGCATATTTATTTATTAATATCAATTGTAATAAGATATCTTTATCACAAAGAGATGTCTCAAAATATGACACACGTGTTTAAAACTTACAGCTATCAGCTATCTCTGTGAAAAGATAAAACTTAACAATTGTATATTTTGAAGAATATAGTCATAACAAACATGATAATATTATTCAGTGTAGAAATTAAATTGTTAGACGATTGAAGGGTCTTGCCAAGGTGGATTACATATGTCATATGAGTTTGACCATTGTCATAATGTTTAAATTTGCTTCTTGTTCGTTTATCCGTATTTTTCTTTTTCATTACACCAGAGACGTATATGTATGTCTCTGATTCCACTGCATTGAGATATCTATGGGACCAGTATGTAGGTCATCAATCGCGATTTACCTCCCTTCGGGCTTCTTCATAGGTGGCAGAGTTGCATAATGAATGTACGCATGCGTCGAATAGTTTTGACAGCAATGGCGGCTTGAGATCATACTCTCGGAAAGTTGCAGACTCTTTTAAGACATTCTGCACTTAAGCTATAATTTATTGTCATCATTTATTTTTGAGGTAAAGGAGCTTGATCTTGCGTGGTATTGGTTCAACTTTGCTACCACAGTTTGCTCTTATTTTTGCAAATCACAGTTTAACATGATGTAAACAGACGTTTTCTGATTTATACATTCCTGTGTGGAAAAATAAGTTTATGCGAGTAAGTTCATTTTACTTGCCAAAATTGACGAACACGGCATATAGTAAGCTTCACAAGATTGACCGATATGATAGATATTGAACAAAATATGTAGTAGCTATAGTTTTACCATAATGATGGACTTAGGTCGATTCAGTCTCGACTAGCGTGCCAGCCGCTGAATCAATTTACAGCCTTGTCAGGCTAGTGTTGCAGCATCAGTAGTATTCATAGATGAAGATAGATTTCAAACCTGAACGTTGCTGTTTATATCTACTTATAACTATTTCAAACTGTGATAATGGAGATATTTATCTGCATGTTTGGATATACAAGACTGACTCGATGGGATGCAAAATGATTTTATTCAAAAAAGTAAACTTGCACTTACCACAGGGGTTCGTTACAAATGTCTGAAATACAAATATGCTATACTAATATGGGTCACAGCACACATACACACGTTTATGTGTGCTGTGACCCATATCAGTATAGCATATGCGTATTTCAGACATTTGTAACGATCCCCTGTGCCTCTAACCGAGACAAGAAGACTGCTAAAAAGTAATGGTACCAAACTACCAATCCTATTACAAAATTGATTATTTCACTGAAGATGCCATATTTGCTTAACTTATATCTTGAAACTTGTGTCAGTCCTATATTCAAACTAGAAAGCCTGTGCCCCAGTCATGTATATGAGATATAAAGTAAAGTGTATCAGGAATCAAAATAGCAGAATACAACAGAGAGTTTGTGATCAAACTGTTTTATTCCAATACCCATTTGAAATCTGTAACATCTTAATATAATGTGAAAATGTTACATAAGCGAAACTTCCCTAATTATTGGCTACTTGCCTATGTATTTTAAAGAGTTATAATAAGCAACAAGCTGTTGTGTTACTATGTGATTTAAACACCTATTTATAGGGATGACTTGTACATACTTATTCAGCAAATAAATGTATGTGACCAGGAGAAATAATTTCAGCTTATGTATTAAGATTGCAAGTACTATTTTTCAGTAGAAAGAAAGTAAAGGTACATTTTGTGTATTACACTTTTTCATGTAAGTAATACAGGAAATGTTTTTTTTTTAAATTTCAAATTTGAAGGATTTAGTTTATTGAAATCTCCTTGCACAAAATAACAGTACTTTTTCACAGTTTTAATACACATGATCAAGATTTGTAAATTCTAGTGTGCTGAACAATCTTTATTGTAAATTTATACTTCCTTTTTTTCAGAGAACGGGATACACCTTACATGAAAAATGGTATGTAATTTGTGTTTCAGTAGTAATGTTTTTATCATTATTTTGAGATGTTATTTTAGTTCATTTATCAATGGAGGATTCCAATAGCTGAACCTCTCTGGTGAAAAGCTTAGACAGATCTACTTTTATCTCTGGACTATATTACGTATATATGGTGAACAATTTCTTGTGTTCCATTATGACACTGGTGTAAAATATGAATGCTATTTGACAACTGGTCATATGATTATCTATCAAAAAACTTATTTTATTGGGATTTTATTGTTGTTCATAATGATTTCCAACAATCTATTTTAGTCCAAGAAAGGCTTATCAAAGAAGTCAGAGACTGTGAGGGTCGTGGTACGATGCCGTCCCATGGATCAAAAAGAGATCAAAGATGGACATGAAAGGTGGATATAAAATTTCTCTTCTGATAATAGGGAGGTTATATACTAAACCGATATATAACCGTATCAAAATGTACATCATGTAAGTTTAATGTTTTACTTAAAAATACACAGGCATTTTATATACAAATACAGTAATAGATGATGTTTAATACAAATAGATAACACAGGGAACAATACTAGTGGTGGTCCTGTATCTTGAAACCATTAAATATTCAAAGGACCATCTATATGTTTTTAAGTAATGGTTTGTCTGGCCATCAAAAATACAACTTGGGTCAAATATTTGTTAAGAGCATCACCCATCAATGTTCCTGAAAGTTACACTATCTAAAACAATACCTGACATGTACAGTTCGTAAGAAAGTTTTTTCACGACTGATCTTTCACTCTTTCATCGCTGAAGATACATCATCTGTGGATAATGAATTTACAATGGCAATAAGAAGCCAAGCAGAAGATATTACACCAATATTAGGGTATCCCGTATGATATTGTTTTACTTTGCAAAGACAACATGCTGTCTGACATTGGCAGCAAGGTGATTATGTCTGCCATCTAGGAATACAAAGGCTTTACTTTTAATGTAATTTTGGAAATTTAGACTTACATACTTGATAGCAGAATTATTGTGCCCCTGAAATTTCATAATGAACTATTCCAACCTTTGAATCGGAAGAGTACAAAATTTAATGTGTCTTCAGGGGTGAATGAGTTACCAGGTAATATGAATACTATATATGTATATTATATACACTGTACAATTTAATGTCTCTTTCCTGTTTAGGATTGTTGATATGGAAGTAAACAGAGGCGTGATTATGGTCAGGAATCCCAAGGGACTATCAACAGAACCCCCAAAGGACTTCACATTTGATGCTGTGTATGACTGGGAGTAAGTTCAATTTTAGTGGAAAAATGCATTAATGTTACTTATAACTCACCTGGCTTCAGTAAGTTCAATATGTCAGCATTTTAATTAGAAAACGCATCAACTGAAGAATACATTTTCATTTTTATAGCATATTTGTTGGAAATATAGTAATGTCCTTTTATTGTGGAAATGCATTTAATGATATTTTAATGGGAAAATGCATTAATATTACTTTTAACTCACCTGGCTTGAAACGTCAAGTGAGATAATTATACTTTGGCATGACATCTAATCTTGCATCAACCTTTCTCTTTTAAAAAATCAAAAAAGCTGAACAGCTTTGACTTCAATTTGCTTGGAGCATCCTTAGGACAAGAGAAGATGTTGTATAAATGAAGGGTGTAATCCCCTTTTGCGGTGCATGGGCAAGGCCTAAAGTGAAAGTAGGAGTAAATCTGAAACTTTTGAGGCATGATGTCTATCAGTGTATAACTGCAAGCAATTTTAGTATAGTGTTCATGGAATTTATTCAGAAACTTTATTATTATACAGGTAAAGGTGAAGAATCCGTTAACTTTCATTGTCCAGTTTGACTTCTAATTATTTTACACACATGTTCAACACATACCTTAAATTCTGTTTTCATTACAGCTCCAAGCAGACAGAATTGTACGAAGAGACGTTCCGTGACTTAGTTCAGTCTGTCATAGAAGGTTTCAATGGAACAATATTTGCATATGGACAGACGGGAACTGGTAAAACATTTACCATGCAGGGTTAGTAACAAAACCTTTACCCACCTTTTTTTTAACTTTCCTTTAGTATAAATGGAGTTAGGGGAAGTATACTGGAAAAAAAATGTCTTTCTGTTTGCAGATGTATTTTTTTTTAATTACAAAAAACACTAGTCCATCATTTTCCAGATCACTTGAAACTGTTGTTGTGTGTTTCTATCTCAACAATTGATATCATGCTTGTTGACAGTTAAATTATTTAGTGATAATAGCCTTTCTGTCTTCATCTGTCATAGGTTTTTATCCAATGTCTTTGAAACCTGATAGGACTAATTTGAGTTGTGTTTTCATTAAAGGCAAAATTAATTCTCATAACATACACTGCCTACCACATAAAATTCCCCGACTGATCTGGGATCAATCTAGACTTGATTCACTATCATTTATGGGTAGTTTCCCCTACAGAAGAAAATACCCATGTTCTTTGAAATTCTCCATATGTGCTTCAAAATAGTAAAACCCAGTTAATTCAACCTCCACTAAAATGAATGTCCCACTCTGCAGCAACTGTTTTTCTGTGTCCAGAATGGAAATTCCTTCTTCCAAATTTGCAATTATTTGTAAAATAATTTGTGTAGTAATATATAATCAAGTGTTGGGTTTTTAGCCCACCATCATCTGATGGTGGGCTATTCAAATCACCCTGCGTCCGTCGTCCGTCCTTGTTATCGGTATTTCTCAAGAAGTACCAGAAGGATCTTTCTTAAATTTTATATGTAGGTTCCCCTTGGTCCTTATCTGTGCAGGGCAACTTTTGAGACTGATCGGATAAACAACATGGCCGACAGGCAGCCATCTTGGATTTTGATATTGAAAGTCTGTTATCGCTATTTCTCCGTAAGAACTAGAGGGATCTTTCTTAAATTTTATATGTACATGTAGGTTACCCTTGGTCCTAGCTGTGCAGGGCAATTTTAGAGACTGATCGGATAAACAACATGCCCGACAGGCAGCCATCTTGGATTTTGATATTGAAAGTCTGTTATCGCTATTTCTCCGTAAGAACTAGAGGAATCTTTCTTAAATTTTATATGAACATGTAGGTTCCCCTTGGTCCTTATCTGTGCAGGGCAACTTTTGGGACTGATCGGATAAACAACATGCCCGACAGGCAGCCATCTTGGATTTTGATAGTGAAAGTTTGTTATCGCTATTCTCGGGAAGTACAGGAGGGATCTTTCTCAAATTTTATATGTAGGTTCCCCATGATCCCTCATTGTGCATGTTATTTTTTGAGACTGATCATAAGAACAAAATCGATTAAAAGAAGAACTAAACAGATCTTTCTCATATTTCAATGATCGATTCTATTTCTTTCACATTAAGTACTGTACTAGTAAATATGTGAAATGACAACCTCACTTTGAAGGTTGGTTTTCATACTCATCAGTATTAAGTTTAGATCAAAAGTTACCTCAAGGTGCATTTACTGTTAACATGACTCGATCAAACAGATTAGAGGAAAGAAGAGAAAAGATTGAACTGACAAAGAACTAATGAAGATGGTACGAAGGTGGGCGTCAAGATCCCTCTGGGATCTCTTTTTTTTTTTTTTAGATTTTTCAGTACTTTAACATTTTATTTTGTTCTTTGTTAGGTGTCAAAAATGATCCAGAGACCAGAGGAGTGATCCCCAACTCATTTGAACACATTTTCCAACACATTTCCAGATCTGAAAATCAACAATACCTTATAAGGGCATCATATCTTGAAATTTACCAGGTAAACGAGACCAGACCTTCCTATGATTCATTACTATCTTATAACTAGTATGTTAAGCAGTGTAAGAACACCATCATATGTATTTTTGTTTTGTTACCTGTGTAATATCAACTATTGCATTCCAATAGAACAAGATGATGATATTGTAAGGAGCGTTAAATGCAAATGTCTTGAATTTTCCTGGCTAGACATTCATTAACCGGTAAGTGAAATGTGCTTTGGTTGAGCGTATGATGAAGAGAATCTCAAACTTGTTCTCACTTCATCAGACATGAAAATAGCTAAAATCACATTTCATAAAATTTATATGTTTTTTGAACTCGTTGGTGATCCTCTATTGCTCACGTAATATTATAACTTTATAACATGTTGTCATATGTAATACGGGATGTTACATCTGTGCATATAATTCCACAAGTTTGTGATATATGCCTGGTCGGTCATAACATCATGGGTTGGAAAATAGACATGACATGAAATTTGTCATTGTCAGAAAATAATGTATTTTACATCACATTTTGATATAGTAGTCTATGTAGAAATTTATTACATTGTAGAATAAAAATTAAATTAACTTTTTTCATTTTTTTTTCATTTTTTGGTGTGAAATTTTGGTATTTGTTCTAATGTCTGAACTGTAGCTTACCAAAGGCTCACAAAAACTGAAATATGACTTCTAGATTCATTTCATCAAATTTTAAGGAATTGTCATTTAAAATGAAAACATATTTAGATTCAATAGGTATATATATCACAACTTATTAAGATTTTTGGAGGCACAGTAGTCTAGTGGTAGGACGCCGGGCTCGTGACCGAAGGGTTGCGGGTTCGAGTCACTGCACGGCACTGTGTTGTATCTTTGAGCAAGATACTTAACTCTGCTTGTTCCAGTCTACTCAGTTGTAAATGAGTAGGTGGTTGGGTAGTGCTAGAATTGTTGAATGCTAGCTGTTAGTGGCGAAATGGCAGCACCGGCTGTATGCTCCCCAGGAAGTTGAGAAAGGTATTGGCTGGTTGCAAAGGCCCTATAACCACAGATAATAATTTGTGAACCACTTTGAGATGACCTAAGAACTAGGTTATGATAAAGCCGTATATAAGAACCTCAAATTATTATCATTATTGCTGTCATGTTTAACATTTTCATGTCTTATTTTGGTATTGTTGTAAGACTTTTCATGTGAAAAAGATAAAATGAAGATAATTATATATTTTTAGATTCGAGATGTGCTATAATAAAGCAGCTTGGAAATCCGTTTTGTAGCAAACCACTAGAATCATACATTGATTCATAAATGTGCATTCTTTTCTTTAAACAGGAAGATATCCGAGATTTATTGTCCAAAGATCACACAAGGAAATTGGAGTTAAAAGAACGACCTGACACAGGAGTTTATGTGAAGGTAACCCTGGTTTTGAATCACAGATCTTAAAATGGTTAATGATCAATCTGAAACATTCCCTCTGTCATCCTTATAAGGTACAAAAATCTTAAGGATTTTCCAACTCATAATTTTGTGTGTATAATAATACACTCTATCAATAGGCAAAACGTCCCAGGTTAAGAAACTTATAAAACATAAAATTTCATCATATGCTTGTACAAGTAAACAATACGAATTGCTCACTCAGTCATAGCTTGACAAAGGGACTAGTCAGTCTAGAAATGTTGTGACACGTTTAATACGTACATTGTTTGTGTATAAAGTAAAACTTTGATATTCATAATTATGTGTTTTTTTCAGGATTTGTCCTCGTTTGTGACTAACAGTGTAAAAGAGATTGAACAGGTTATGCACAAGGGGAACTCCAACAGAGCTGTAGGGTAGGTGGACAGTGATATAGTTGATGGCGATGTTACGTAATATTTATCTACAATGTATTCCAATGTTTTGCCAATCTCTATTCTATCAGGTTCTACAAAAAAAGGGATCTGATCCTTGAAATAAGCCAAATATATAACATACAGGTTCAAATAAGCCCACTACCTATAGCTTTTTGCAACAGGGCTTCTCCAGAAATAAATTAATTGTGGTTTGGGTTGGAAAAACACACTTTTATGTGATTGCCAACCATCCAAACATTTATTTTCCTGGGATCTACTATACAAATTAATGTTAAGCAATGTTAATTGGTCCTAATAATGCCTGAGGTTGACTTGAGAATTAAGTGTCCATATTAGCAAGGTTACATAATATGTTATATCACAATTTTATCCCTGCTGAGTTATAAGACATTGTTTATGCAGATCTACCAACATGAATGAACACAGCTCCAGGTCTCATGCGATCTTCATCATCACTATAGAATGCAGTGAGGTATGTCTGTATATGTTACTTTTTGGTATGTATAGTGCTTTAATTATGGGAGGTTAAGTATTATAAGTACAATTGCACTTGGATAGAATTTTTCAAGTCTGTTGAGCTTAATAATGACTCTACACTAGAAATTTCCAAACTATCATTTTAAAAAATATTTGAAAATTTACAAATATTATTGTTCTGTCTTCAGAATATCATTACGTCGAGTTTTAGTTTTGAATTTGACTTTTGTTTTTGGAAATATAAATTTGTTTTGCCTTAAATATTGTAGTGTGATAGATGTTAAACAGCAGTTGAATTTTGCCCAGAATAATGAGTGTTAATTGGTATAGTAAACAAAATTATAGTTACTTTGGTCTGGTATTCATATACATTTCTCGATGATTAATTAAAATACATCAGATCTAAATTTTATAGTTAAACATTTGTTGCATATTGATTTAATTTGTTTGGTACCGAAAACTATTTTATCTTTTAATCTCTAGGTTGGTGCGGATGGAGAAAACCACATTCGAGTGGGGAGACTCAATCTGGTGGATTTAGCTGGAAGTGAACGACAGTCTAAGACTGGTGCAACAGTAAGTCATAGGTTATAGGTTAGAGTTATATACTAAGAAGAAATTCAAAATGGATCTTATCGCCAACCAAGATGTATGTGTTATGTAGTGTTTATTTGAGAAGTGTACTTTTACTAATGGAGTATTTCTAAGTCTTCAGAAGTTGTCTGATGTATTACAATTCAAAATGAATTGTAAATAAAAAGAAATGTTTCTGTAACTCAGGTAATAAGATTTTCCCTACTTCATGGTTCTATAGGTGAAACTTAACACAATTTAGGGAACAAACTCTAGTAAGAGCGTTTTGATTTTTATATGCCCATAAATGATTTCTTGGCTAGCTTGATGGACATTCTCAATATTTTTCGTCATAATTTATATAAATTCCTTGCTCTTTCACCTGCATTCACTTAAATTTGCTATACTTACATATATGTATTATTAAAAAGGAGGTTAACTGAAATGGGATCTTGTTCCCGGCTATAAACAGTTATGACCCTTCAATATTTTGTTATACAGACGTAAGGATCATTATGTCCTATTACAATTGACAGTTGTGGGATCGCACAACGTTACATGATGTGCAGTGTGCGTGCGATGTGCACATTCTATTTTTGGTGCATTGTGCGGTCACACAACTGAACCTTAACTCACCAGACTAGCTACACTTCAAAATCTACTGATGTAGGTAAAGCAAAGCATTGTAAACTGAGGCGGGTCTTGTACCTCACTAAATACAATGAGTTTTATTTGATACTGTACATGTATGGCATGTGACAGGCGTATATTGTTGAGCCCCTGCGGTACTCTGGTTATCCTAATCCCATTACAGATATTAGTTTAGAATACAACTATGTCTGTTACAGCATCACGTTACTCTTTCATTTGTACGTGCCAGTAAACTACACCAATTTTGTTTTACAGGGAGACCGATTGCGGGAGGCAACAAAGATCAATTTGTCCTTATCAGCTCTGTGTAATGTAATTGCCGCTCTTGTCAACGACAAAAGTACTCACATTCCGTATCGTGATGCCAAGCTGACACGATTGTTACAAGGTAATATTTATCACTACACGGTACTGAAGCCGCATCATACTTCTAAATTCAGCTGACATTCATATTGGCTATGTTTGATAGGGAACAATTGTTGACGTCGTCATTATTATGTCTGACATGAGACTATTCCTGGAAGATGACTTATATTTCAGGGAGAAGCATAAGAGACCTCTACATTAAATTTCAAGTTTCTAACTTTAATTAATCAATTTTATTTTTGACGAGACAAAAATAGTAAAAAAAATGGTAATAAATATATGCATTGAGGAATCATGGTAAGGTAGCATATATCCTAAATGTTTTGTCAATTTCAGATTCTCTCGGCGGAAACGCAAGAACTGTGATGGTAGCAAATATTGGTCCAGCAAGTTACAACTATGACGAATCTCTTAGCACACTTAGGTATGTAATCAACAACAACAAACCTCCAAACATGCCTAGGCTTTTAGGTTATAGGTCATGATCAACCACAAAAAATAGATACAAATTCTGTGCAATGTGTTGTTTTACTACATATGATGATCATGAATTTGCTGTACGACATATAGGATTTTATTCGCAGTAAATAAAAAATTCCTTCAACAGATTGTGATTGACCGGATCTGAATCTGGAGCTGATTTATTAAAACATTCCAACTTTTTTCTCTTGATGGTACTGTATAAAGGATCCTGTGTAAAATACTAAACCACATTTCAACAAGTTTCAAATTAAGTTCTGGGGTTTAGGAAGATGGTTAGAGTTGGGGTAGGGAGAGCTAACTTTTCGTTTTAAATTCGTAAGTGTTTAAGCAGTTGTTGCAGTCATGATATTATCTTTTCACATCTACTGGCTGTACTGCCTCCAAACACTCACTCATTTAATGCAGATTTTGTTTTAATTTGCTGTCTGAAATGAGTTTGGGATATTTTTAACTGAAATAATCATGAATTGTTCTATGGTGAAGTTGTTTAATTAATTAATTTAATTAAGGTACCACTCATATTGTTTCCAACAGATATGCAAACAGTGCAAAGAACATCAAGAACAAACCCAAGATTAATGAAGATCCAAAAGACGCTCTACTACGAGAATTCCAGGAGGAAATTGCCAGGTCAGTAGCATTCTGTGGCATTCATTTCACATCTATCACAAAAATGTTGTCAAGTTTTGATGTGCAGTGTTAATTAATGATTTGGAAAAATACTGTGTATAATTTGCTACTCAAAGAAGAGGCCTGTAGTGTTTAGAAGTGTTCACTGTCAAGTTCTGTTGTTAAATTGGTTTATTTGTCAAAAAATACCTACCTGGTACAACATGCAGACTGAATGTTAGACTTTGTAAAATCTGCGACATTGTCTTTGCAGACTAAAGGCAGATTTGAACCATAAGGGTGGTCCCAAGAAAGGGAAGAGAAGGAAGAAACCCAGGCGTAACGCTGAGGGTGAGTACTTAGGAATGTTACCTCAGCATTCAAAAATACAAATAAAGAAAAGGATAAATTATCTGAGGATATATTTCACAAACACATATACCAGATATTTAATTGGAAACATTTAAATTATTAAGGTTTGTATGTTTGTTCCAGTTCTTATCAATGGAGGTTGTTAGAAACACAGACACATCAGAATTTCCTGAAACTATCATTTCTTTCTTTCTTTAATAGTTTTTTGCAGGGGATAGGGGTCTTGACTTATTTTTGAAAATATTTCAATGGAATTACTTTAAATTTCTTGAAAACCAAGAAAGACCTCTGTAACTTGCCAGTAAAAAGTTTTAACAAAAGTTATGTGTTTGTAGGTGAGATAATAAGTGGCTCAGAAGATGAGAGTGATGATGATGATGACGACGGTGATGACGGTGGCTACAATAACTCTGAGGATGAGGCAGTGTACAGACAGGAACAAGAAGCTAAGTTAGAGGAGCAGAAAAACTCTATCCTCAGCAACCAAACTATGCTACAGGAGGTAAAGCTCATGAATGGTTATAAAAAATAACGTAAAAGATTAGGTAAAAATATCCCTCATCTTACTCATCCATGTCAACCTCTTAAAGCCCATATCTGGTCATAATCAGATATTGACTCAGAAATATCTGGTCATAATGCGTATAAACAAGATCTTTAGCATCCTAAACAATAAGAAATGTTACAGAATCTGCCTTTTGCTATCTTTATTACTGTTTGGATGTGTAAGTAAATTCGTGAGAACCCCAATAATCTTTACGGTTCAAAATAACATGTGACAAAAGAAGATCTGTTCATGTTGCTGCTGGTGAAGACAATGGCTAGATCAGGCTATAATTAGCCCACCATCATCAGATGGTTGGCTATTCAAATCACCCGTCCGTCCGTCATTCGTCTGTCCTTAAACAATTCTTGTTAGTGCTATTTTTCAGAAAGTACTGGAGGGATCTTTCTCAAATTTCACATGAAGGTTCCCCATGATTCCTAGTTATGAATATCCCTCTTTGGGACTGATTGCAAAACCAAAATAGCCGACAGGCAGCCATCTTGAATTTGAAAGTTAAAGTTTGATAGCCCTATTTCTCAGATTTCACATATAGGTTCCCCATCATCCTTAGATATGCATATCGTTTTTTTGGGACTGATCACAAAACCAAGATGGCCGACAGGCAGCCGTCTTGAATTTGAGAGTTAAAGTTTGTTAGCGATGACTGAAGGGATTTTTCTCAAATTTCACATGAAGGTTTCTGATGATTACTTGTTATGCATATCAATTTTTGGGTCTGATCACAGGGAGCCATCTTAAAGTTTGTAAACATATAGAAAATGGATCATATATACTACATATAGGGCTTTGGTACACAAACTGGAATCTTTCTGTGGTCATTGTGTTCCTGTCATTGTTAATTTTGTTAATGGCACAGGATTTATTGTTTTTTTATAGGAAAAAGATAAAATACTGCAGGAAATTTCAGACCGGGAGGAGAAGGTGAAGAAAGAGCAAGAGGCAAGAGATGGACTGGCGGCCAAGATCAAGGTGAGAGACAGAACATGTTCAGTCAGAACAAAATACAGGCATAGCAGTAAATACAATACAGTTCTTATCTCTGTGTCCTCTGTGTTCTCAATATCTGTCACTTAAAGCTTGATTGTTTCCGGACAGGCCATTAAATACCTGATTTATCTCAAAGCTTTATCATTGTACCAGCAACTTGGACCGGACAAGGGTTGAGTTGTTTTAAAAAAAAAGTCTGGGGTGTCTTTGATGTAGCAAAATTTCAATGAGATTCCATCATGGATAAGATGTTTGATATTACCAGCCATCTTAGCCTTTGATGCTGCAGTCACAGATTTTTAATGTTGTGTTAACACTTCTATAAGGGTTCAGAGACCACATCCTTTATTTACAGTTGGCTAGCATAAAATGCATTTTATCATGTCGGAATGAAAACAAAACGAAAATCAAACCAAAACTTCACAGTATGAATTACTTTATTGACTCCAAAAAAAGCTGCACTGAAACTCCGAATAGCCTAGTCTTGTTTTTGACACATGTGTTAGGTGACGCAGGTGTCTAGGGGATCGTGCATACTACAAAGTTTGCTTAAAGTGGAATTGTACATTCGATCGTTATGCCATCTAGTGGCTGAATTTCTATTTCATTGACTAAATGTATGCAAATGATACCTAGCATTACACTTCATTCATAAAATGCAGTGACGTCATTTTGTGGGTAGTCAACCAATGCCAGAGAACACATTAAGTATCCATTTCGGTATTGTATACAACAATACAAGTATAGTAAATTATAAAATTAATAAATATATTCTGATATACTTCCTTGTACGATAACATGGTTGCTCATTTATGCGCTTCCCGGAGCAGATTTTGTCCTCTGATTTTCCCCACAGTTTAGTATTTATTTGCTTTGATTAATTTGTTTTTCGTCTTTATATCAGTCTGGTTAGAAAGACATTTTGTGTGATATTTTGTACCTTTTTGATGCACACAATATTTTGATGTAGTCCATGGAAAGCAAACTCCTGATGGGTGGTAAAAACATTGTTGATCACACCAACCAACAACAGCGTGCCCTGGAGCAGAGGAGGAAGGAGATAGCTGATCAGAAGGTAACAACACTGTAGTTGTGTATATAGCTCAGAACTTGTACTGTTTTATCATTCCAATTACGACATTCAACCGAAATCGATGACAAACTTGTAGACCTTAATGTTACAAGTTGATATATGATATATGAAAAAATTGTACAAAAGATCCTGATTTTGTCATTTTCTAGCTCAACCACAGTGATAGATAATCAACTATTAAAGATTAACTGATTGTAATTTAATATATACATGATTGTATGTTTAACAAAAATATAATACAAAATTGTACTATAAAGTATGAATTTATATCTTTTCATGATACAAATATATGGGCTATGAAAGAGGGACACCTATATTTCCAGAATAGTCCTATTTGTATTCAACCTGGTAGTAAAATTGCCCTCTCCAGAGAATAGCATTTTTAATTGCTCAAACTTTAACTAATTGAGAATATTCATATCTCACATTTTTTAATGAGTTTGGGTAAAAATCAGATTAATCAAAGGATATTTATAAGTACAAAATTGAGATATTGAAAGAAATTTACTTACAATCAGGTTTCTTTCTATCCAGCCAGTGTATACATTAGGGGACAGCTTTCCCATTCTATATTTGAAAGTGCAGCCATTTTACAATCCCGTCACTATAAGTTAATTTAAAGGTTTTAAAACCTTTTATGGGGATTTTTATTGTATGCGAAATTGTTTATAATTCCCTTTAGAAACGAGAACGAGAAATCCAACAGAAACTGGAGGAAAAGGAAGAATCTGCTGTAGAAATGCAGGATACCTATAATTCCATGCAACAAGAAGTAGAAATAAAAACAAAGAAACTGAAAAAGGTAAGTCAGCTGTAAATACAGCAGGATTTGACTTGTGTATGCTTTCAACTGCTCTCTGTCATCACGAGAGCGAAACCTGCGTACACAGTAAACAATTTGATTTGATGAAAATGTCTTAATCCTCTGTGTATAGCAGTATATATATTTATGTAAAAAAAATGCCTATAATTTATAGAAATTAAAGCTTCGATTATTAACAGGTTTTAAAGTATAATTTTATATGGTAGCATCATCTGTGATGAAGATGTGGGATCTAGGGAAAAGAGGAAAAGTTGATATGGAAATTTATGTTTTTAGTTGTGTATGAAATTATTGTATGATCACTTTAGCTTTCATTCAATACTTCCACTGTAACATTTATTTCATATTTTAATACCGGGTAATTTGTTATTTATATCATTTACCAGGGAGTAGTCATAGAGATGTTGCATGAGTTAGCCACGCCCTGGGATATCCAATTGAAGTTCCTAGTCATTTTGCAAGGCAATGTTGTAAAAATATTTAATTTGTAGCTCATGATTGAGTGCAAATGTTCAAAAGCTGAAAGCGGATTGGATGAGAGTAATTTGTAAAAATAATTGTTTTGTAGCTTTTTGCAAAATTGCAATCGACCAAAGCTGAGATCATGGACTTACAAGAGGAACATTCTAAAGAGCGTCAGGAACTGGAACAGACTCAGATGGAGCTCACCAGGGACCTAAAACTCAAGTAAGCCCATCATCTGATGAATATCTCTTTCTTCTTTCTTCTAAATACACCTCTCCAATGTTAAAAGAAATTAATGAGGAAAAAGAATGATCTTTTGGCTGTCTCTGGGATTTCAGCTGAAAAGAGGCATTTTAAATCATAAATATCTTTTAAAAAAAGTATTTTATTTTCTTGAATTTTCCTGAAAGTACACACCTTAAAACAAAATTCGGAAAAAATATTTATTGTGAGAATCTTTTATTATAACATCAGTTATTCCTGCATATCAAGGAATGTATCAATTTTCACATTTACTCAAAAGACCACTTATCTATAAAATGACTCGCCAGTACATATATTTTCTTTTTTTTTATGGTAGAAGTTTAACCCTTTCACCACTGTAGACCATAATGGACTGATCCCAATAAATGCATGGTAGAGTCCACTAAAGTTACCTAGGGGTGAAAGGGTTAAGGTGCTGTTACTGTATTTTGATTTGTTTCAGGATGTTGATCATAGAGAACTTCATTCCTGTAGAGGATAAAACCAAGGTGATGAATCGAGCCATGTATGACGAGGACGAGGACATGTGGAAACTCAAACCTCTGGCCAATAAAAAGTGAGATTTGGTTAAAAAGGATTTTCATGTATTAGTCTTAACATCAAGTGATAGATTTTACAGCTGTGTTATTCTTTATAAATAAAACAACTTGTACATTGAGAGTCAGAGAGCCACCTGTGTGAGGTGTAAATTCTTTCAGACAGTTGTTGTAGTACATCTAGTGAGATTTTTGCAAGTCAGCTTATCATGAGTTCTCTTTTTTGGCATACATTCACTTTTCAAACTGACGACTTTGTACAAGAAAAGGTTCTATTTTAATTGATATTAAAACTGTATTACGATATTTCCAGTACCCAAACCATGGCTAAGCGACCAACATCTGCTCTGGGAAATCGTCGACCAGTCTCGGAGTTTGCTAGGGTAGCAGCAGCCATGGGTGGCAACCCTAGGTTCAAGGTAAGGATGTCAATGTTATTATCAAAAACCAAGAACGACAGATTGTTTCACTGGGACTTTGTTTCAAGTCCAACTTCAGGGTCACAGAATTTCAATCTATTCTTTTCTGTATACCTATGAATGCTTTCATGTTTGTTTTACTGACTGGCTAAAATATAATGGGAAATAAAAAGACCTGTGAATTTTGTTGCCCTTTTGACAGAGATTCAATTAGGTATATTGAATTAAATACAAATTTTGCCTAAAATTCAAACAGGTATAATAATGAATACAAGTTTTTGCCTAAAATTACACATTGGTAATTTGTTTCAGTTAAAAATGACTATTTATTTGGGGGGGGGGGGGTTCCACAAAATAAAGAAGAACAAAAAGTTTATGTCAAAATTGACCTACATTTTTTATTGTATAACCACTAGTTTAGTCCAGTAGATGAAAGTCTTGTCACTGTGATTCAAATTCTGTATGAAATGATCCTTTGTCAGGGAGAAAATATACTAATGGTGGAGTTAGACATGCCAAACCGCACCACCCGGGACTATGATGGACCACAAGTGGCACCAAGGATACAAGCTGCCCTGGATGCAGCCCTCCAGGACGAGGCTGATATTGAAATAGAGGGACAGTAAGTAGTCTGACCCAAAACTAATCACGAAACAAAAAAACAAAAAAAAGTAATTTTGATAGTATATATTTATCAATGTTTCGATAGAATATTGGACACATAATTCCAAACTTGCCAAGTCTCCCTACTGGTAGTGATGTTTTAACCAAGCCAATGCAAGATGTCTGTCAGTACCAACCATAAGGGCCATTATTAAGAAGTTCACCATTGTTTTCCTACACTTGAGTCTGTTTACAGAAAATTCCTATGTGTTAAATGCTGACAAATTACCAACTCACAATAGAGTGGGATGAAGAGAGTATACCAGGGTATTGGTTTTAAACTTCATTTATATTGACACAAATATGTTTTAAGTCTTATCATGGATAGAAAAATTGCGGTGGATAGGTAATCTATGTTCACCTGCTTAAGTAACAGGGATTAGTCCAGATTCATAAGCTCTCAGCAGTGTTTAGGGGAAATGTTTTGCTAATATTAAATTTGAAGAGGACCTAGTGCAGAATATTTTCCTCCATCAAACATGGTAAATGTTTCGAAAAAGTTTGACTTCAGATGGCATTCATTACTACATTATATGATAATGTTTGGTACTAAAACAAGGATAACTTTTAAGCTGATGTACAATTTTTACGTTTTAATGATTATTTCCTCAGGACTCCATCAATATTCAGCAGCAAAGCCAAGGCCAGGAAGAGAGACGTGAAAAGTGCTAGGTATGTAGACAGAGATACCAAGATTTTGAACGAAATCACCAAAGTCATGACATCTAATCAAACAAGGAAGACAATATTAAAACCATGAATATGTATATTATACTGAAGAAAAGATATGAATTTGAATATTTCCAACAAAACTATGAAATATTTATACATTTTGAAAAGCATAATGACCAGCCTGTTTAACCATAGAGTGAAGAATCCTTGGTTAAATAGTTGGGCATACGTATACCTGGCCATACATTAAATTTACCTAAAATGGAACTTTTATTTAAAGTCAAACAAATCTATTAAATATTTATTACATACATCCTTGAATATTTTATCCAAACAGTCGGATAATTTAAATCATATTTCGTCTTTTGTCCAGAGGAGTGTGAGTTGAGGTTGTTTCACTTAATTTCTGGTCTAGAGAAATCTTTAATATACTCTGTCAAATATTCTGTTTGTCAACCAAATACTTACAGCAGGAAAAGCTCATATTATTTAAATTGTACAGTTACCTCCCTTGGTTTACTGTATGTAAGGCGTCAACATCAAACAAATTAGTAAAAATGGCCAGATAAGTCATGGGTATTGTTAAATACATAAAAATGGCCAGATAGGTCACGAGTGTTGTTAAATACATAAAAATGGCCAAATAAGTCATGAGTGTTGTTAAATACATAAAAATGAGGTGCAGGTCAAGCATTTAGGGTGGTTACATGTATATATCATACCCTAGCCCATATAAGGAAAGAAAAAGAAATGAAAATTCTATTAAGAAGTAGACAGTCAGTTTTAAAGCTACATAACAATGTAGATAGATCTTGAGAAATACTGCATAACAATGTAGATAGATCTTGAGAAATACTACATAACAATGTAGATAGATCTTGTGAAATACTACATAACAATGTAGATAGATCTTGAGAAATACTACATAATAATGTAGATAGATCTTGGGAAATACTACATAACAATGTAGATAGATCTTGGGAAATACTACATAACTATGTAGATAGATCTTGAGAAATACTACATAACAAAGTAGATAGATCTTGAGAAATACTACATAACAATGTAGATAGATCTTGAGAAATACTGCATAACAATGTAGATAGATCTTGAGAAATATTACATCAATACATAAATTGTAGGTCACTGTGACCTACATTTTCCATGTCACTGACTTGGTTAGACATTGGTGTTTAGCTCCATTCCCATCAAAGCAGGTGCGAATGTATGTTTTCAAACAATTTCTACCTGAAAATTTATTTTTTAATTTTGTGAACTGTTTTAACACTTTCTAAATTACTCTAGTTCTCTCTATCCACGGTTTTCTTTGGCAGGCCTAGAACAGGAAAGAAAGATGCTTCGAAGGAGTTTCCATCTTCTAGAGGGCTTGTACCCAAATAAGCATGACCAACTCAGGAGGAGTACCATGTCTTTCTGTCTCTATTAACTACTGGTCTGGCTACATTTTCCACTCAGCACTGTCGGACAAACAATAGACTTTACAGACCCTGTGATATTTCAGCCTGGCTGAGGAAACAACAGTCTTCGGAAAGTGTTAACTATAGGAGGTGCTCCCAAACACCGTACTAAAACCGATTAAGAATGATAACAGTAAAATTGGAAATTTTTAACATGTGGCAATTTTCATGTTGTGCTCATTAAGTTGATTGCAGTACGGATTTTTTTTGCATTTGCACTGGTTCTGAAATCTATGATCTAGTGTGTAATTCTAGTATCAAAGTTTGTACTTTTTCACACTAATTTACTAAACATGAGCATTCCCACACAGCATAAAATTTCCACTTTTAACACTAATACACTTTTATCAGCTTAAGACAAATTAACAACCGGTGAAGAATTTTATAAACGTGTTTTTTTTTATTAAACCACTGTTCAAATGGTTAAAAGCAGTATACAGGCTTAAGTGTTTAGAGCAATGATATTCTGGTAAAGAAGGATTTGTGAATTGATTGCAAATAATTACATTGATCAAAATAATGCTATTTAAAAGAGATATCGGATAATCCTTGAAACTCAATTTGACATTTTCCGTATAAAGGCTAAAACAAACTTGCACGTCTTTTATAACTGTATGAAGTTTCATCCATTTATATAAATCTCGATTTTCACAAGTAACTTACTGTAGTAGTAACTCACTGAACATATATAATAGTGTACACTGCTGTTGGCCTTACAATCAATCACACTAAAGGGTATATGCTAATGGAGTCCAGACTCACCATGAATTATAAATAACACAGTTGTATGACCGTAGTTTGGGATCTACAGAATTGTTTGCCTTCTTTTTGATGTACAAGAAGCATTCAGTTTTTATACTGCTTCGTACAATTGACAATGTCTTACACTATTGTTTATCAAGCCACTGTGTACTACAACACAGCAATGCCTTTTGTTAAAACGTGTACAGCAACTGTAAAAATGGAGGCTTTTGCTGGTGTTTTATTAATAAATTAGTTTGAATTTAATGCTTAAAAAAAATAGTCATTCTTATGATCGTATGATTTGGTTAACTATAGAAATATTTTGTTCATTCAGATATATATGACAAAATTTGATTTATTAAAGAGTTTAGTAATAAACGGAGCGAAATGTAAATTTTACAAGCAAGATTAATATCATATGCAGTTAAAGAAATACTTCATGACATGTTTACAGTGCCGATGGTTGTGGTAGTGTTTTGCAAAATAACTTAGATATAGTTATGCTGACGTAGCTGTGGGCATGGTCAATTCAATATGACGCCACAATCCAAAAATAGGTACGTTCTTTTATCATGATGGCCTAATCAAGTAGAGCTTATACACTATCTGCTCTTCTTACCCGATATAGGATGTATAACGTTCATATTAATTTAAAAAACTGTTCCAATTATTATTTCTAGGCAGAGGTGTGAACAAAGGTTTTAACATGTGCTTGGTATAATAGTGTTCATACTTAGATACTGTTGTTTTGATTATTTTTGGTGCAAGCAGTTAGTTTATTTTCGTATTAAATTTCTGTTTGTAAATATAAAATACCATAAGTTATCGGGGCTTATTACAGTCAGTTCTGAATAGTACTAATTGTACATGTGACTGTCCACGTATAACATGCTGACATCAGATTCAATAATGGCTTTTTTGTGATACATTGTACAAAGTAGTACTGTTTGTATTGTATGGCTTTGGTATAAATACATAGCTGTACTTGGTATTGTAAGATACCACTTGCTGTTTGTTGTGAATTGACCATGGACATTTCGTACTCTAGGGCAGCACTTGTTTTGGCTGGGCGGCCAGCTTTATTGTTATACATTGATAAACTGTAAGTCACTGGATTTTCATGAATATTTATTTTCACGATTATTCTTTAAAACCACCTATTTACGAGTATTTGAATGCAAGCAGGGAACAATTACTGATGTATGTATCTCATAAACGTTTCTAAACATTAGTATTTACTAAATGACTATTTCTGGAAAAAAAAGATTTGTGAGATATTTCAATTTGCTTGCGATGCCTCTCATGTTTTAACATGAAAATAAATATATCTTGTGTTATATAAATGATTCAGAGTAAATAATGTAAATAATCTGTTTGTGTGTATCTGTCATGCCATGGTTGTGTTTTCCTGAAATAACAAACAAGCATTTACGGTGTAGTGTATTTGATGTACACTTAATAGGCATTTTTTTTATTCATTATTATATAATGATTTTCGCATACAAATTATTGAACACTGATGTTGGACCTTCCAGTTCACTGTTAGATTTATTATTTTACTATGACGGTGTTTTTTGTTATATTTTATCCATAAAAATCTGGATTTAGAGAAAAGTCTTAATATATAAAGGCCATTGTGTTAGTTTTTCAAAGATGATCCTACTTTCAAAATATCAGAATATCTTAATTGTTAATAAGATATTCATATCATTCAGCTGGTCGGGTCTTGTCCGGTTATATCCCATTGATAGGTATTTAGTCAGTACTTGACATCGGTTGGCATCAGGTGGTGGCATTGTCTCTATAGTTTTTATACTATGATAACAAAAACAAAAAATGTATTTTAAATACAACTAGTCAAAGCTGTATTATTGAACATGATACAAACTTCATGTAGGATATTTCAGAGAAAAAATAGTGTTTGAAGGCTGTTGGTCAGCTTTTGTGAAATATCTGCTAAATATTTCAACAAGGAGTTAAAAAAAAAAAATGAAATATCTGCTGAATATTTCAACATTAGGGATCAATTTTAAAACTGTTTCCCCGGCAAAGCTAATATATTTATTGACCTTGCTCAGAAAGAAAATAAAGTTATGTGTATATCGGGGAGGGAGGAGGTGTATATTACTTTAAATGGCAAATAAGGTATCATTTGGTATATCTCGGTTTGTATGGAGGCACCAGTAGTGTAGTGGTAGGACACCGGGCTTGTGACCGAAGGGTGGCAGGTTTGAGTCACGCACGACACAAGTGTTGTATCTTAGGACAAGATACTTTACTCCGCTTGTTTCAGTCTACTTGGCTGTAAATTAGTACGTGGTTGGGTAGTGCTAAAATTGTTGAATGCTAGCCAAATGGCAGCACCAGTTGTATGCTCCCCAGGGAGTTGAGAAAGATATTGGCTCTATAACCACGGAAAATAATTTGTGAACCACTTTGAGACGACCTACGAACTAGGTTGTGATAAAGCGGTATATAAGAACCTCAAATTACTATTAATTATTCATATGTAGAATTTGTTATGTCATCACTAATCTCTTATTGCATATCAGACTTACACCTCTGGTGTAGAGTGCTGTCACATTTTCCAGACAAGACTGTCCTGTAGTGCTCAAATAGTTTACATTCCACATGTCAACAAGTCCTGTACATAGATTTCCTATTTATTTAAGAGATATATGAAGTAGTAATATTTAATGATGTAGTGTGTGAGAGGTGTAGTCACACATCAACTCTGTCCTAACTGTATACATGCTATTGCTCACCAACTATAAAAATAACCTTTCAAGAACAGACATTTGTAGATTTATATTGAAGTATTCAATAAGTTTATATGTATCAAGGAATTTTTCTGTAGTTTCAGTAAACACACAGGAATTAGTGAATCCTGAATGATCACTGGTGAAAACGGTACCAAGGTAGTTTCATACTACGGAATTTTTGCTGATTGCACATTTCAGAGCGAAAATTTGCAGGCACAGATATATTGACGCCCCTTGAAATATTTAAGGCAGTGTATTTCCCCAAAGAAACCAATTTCTGCAATTTCATATCACTTGTGCTATTCTTTCATTCAAACATTCAATTTACTTTGATTTCCGTCCAGCGCGTTCCTTTTTTTATTACATTTATGATTATTATGAATTTAATGTGTTTTATTTAGTACAATCTTTATCATTTTATACACAATTTTCTGTGATACCTTGTGTGTATGGAAGAGAAGTATGATAGCTATATGTCTAGTGGAGTGCATGTATAATTGATCGATTATTGTAGTGTTAGAAATCCAAAAGTAGCATGTCTTTCCTTTTTATTAAGGATGTATGCTACCTTATATTACTGAGACATGAACTTTGTATCTCCTATTCAAAAGAGATCTGTGCTGAGAAACTTGGACATTTTTCAATCAATGCAATTTTGAGTCAGTTAAATTTTCAAGGATGCATCTGAAGACTACTTGATAACACTCCAGTAATCCTCTATTTTCAGGTAATGTTGCTAAGTGATTGAAAGACTTCAAGGGGAGCTAACTCAAATAATTACTATATATTGATAAAGTCCACAATTTATCTGCTAAAGGTACAGTCTTAACTGACCTGCATAAAGTTTGTGTGTGTTTTTGGTAAATATCTCATTTCTCATACCAAGGTCATTTAGGTGATAATTTGTTTGTTTGTGACTATTGAGTGTCTAATCATATTTTACCATGGATCTTTTTTTTTTGTCTGCATGATAATGCATCAATGTGTTTTATAAATACATGTAATATAATTGCATATTTCAAACGATTTTTCCCATTGAAATAAAAAAGCAAAACTGCAAAACTACAGACGATCTTTTGAGTGATTTATGTATTCATTTTTTTTGCTGTACCTTGATACAAGACGTTGTTTGTGTGTCCTGATATTATGTGTTATTTCTAATTTAAAAATCTGTGTAAACAACCTAATCAGTAATAAAATGGGATAAGAACTCCACAGGTCATGGCTTGAACATTATCATGTGACAAACATTATACACTTATTGCCCTGGTGTGAGGGAGACATGAAAAGTTGTTTCCCCCTTGATAAATCATGTTTCCAGAGGGGGGTGGGGGGAACTCTTCAGGTCTCCCTCACACCAGGGCAGTAAGTGTTTTGTTATTCCGAAATTCTTGAAATGGGATACCGTCTACCTTTCTTGTCCCAGCATAGAATTGCTGCAGAGCTGTATCTAGGTCACCAGAGTCGTAGGCCTAAAAATTAACATCTGCGTGCCCGGTTGTTTAAGGAAATCTCTGAAACACTTTATGGCAGCATTTGTGATTTTTTTGGTGTTGACCGAATCTTTACTTGCTAATAGCCTTTCAAGTTCTTCAGCTGTTGGGAGGTGGAATCCCCCGTTCGCAGCCATTGTTGATGTTTGTGGTGTCTTCTGGAGCACATCGGGCGTTAGAGAGTCTAACAAAGAGACATTCGAAACACCTCGTCCCGATTACAGTTCCTTACATGGTTCATGTCATGAACTGTTGTCCGTCCGTCTGTCAGCTTATCCTTTAAAATGCTACTTGTCCCGAATGTCCCAGTAGATTTTGACTAAATTTGATCTGAAGCATCCTTGGTCCAAGGGGACTCAATTTTGTATAAACAATGGATGTGGACCCCCTGGGGGCAGAGGGGAGGGACCCAATGAGGGGAAATGGAGGTAAAAACATTTGTAATCCTCCTTCTACAATAGGGATTGAGGGCTTTTGTCCTCATTTTGTCTGGAGCATGTTTGGGCCAAGGGGACTCAGTTTTGTATAAATGGTTGGTTTGGACCCACTGTGGGCAGAGTTGCCGGGCCCAAGAGGTGAAATAGAGGTAAAAAGCTTTGAAATCCTTCTTCTACCATAGGAATTCAGGGATTTTATCCAAATTTAGCCTGGAGCATCCTTGGGCAAAGGAGATAAAATTTTGTAGAAGCAAAGGGTGAGGCCCATGGTGCTGAGATTTGTGGGGCCCAAAAGGGAAATTCAAGCTTTTAATCTTTAAAATATTTCTTCTTCTCCATTGGAAGAATTTATTGTAATAAGAATAATTTCCCATGGTATATTATCAAGGTGAGCGATGCAGGCCCTCTGGGCCTCTTGTTTAAAAGATTCATTGATTTAAATCAAATGTTAAGGTTACAGGGCTGAGCTTAATACCATGTGCACAATGCAGGCCCATTTGCCCACCTCTAAACAGGTGAAGTTATACAACCCAGACCATATTATACTCCACACTCGGGCAGAAGAAATTATAAAACCCAGACCATATTATACTCCACTCTAGACAGGTGGCGTTATACACCGAAGACCATATTATACTTCACTCTATAGACAGGTGAAGTTATACAACCCAGACCATATTACACTCCACACTCAGGGCATAAGAAATTACACAACCCAGACCATATTATCCTCCACTCTAGGCAGGTGGAGTTATACAACCCAGACCATATTATACTCAACTCTAGGCAGGGGAAGGGATACAACCCAGACCATATTATACTTCACTCTAGACAGGTGAAGTCAAACAACCCAGACCATATTATACTTCACTCTAGACAGGTGAAGTGATACAACCCAGTTCATATTATACTTCACTCTAGACAGGTGAAGTGAAACAACCCAGACCATATTATACTTCACTCTAGACAGGTGAAGTGAAACAACCCAGACCATATTATACTTCAATCTAGACAGGTGAAGTTATACAACCCAGACCATATTATACTCCACACTCAGGGCATAAGAAATTACACAACCCAGACCATATTATCCTCCACTCTAGGCAGGTGGAGTTATACAACCCAGACCATATTATACTCCACTCTAGGCAGGGGAAGTGATACAACCCAGACCATATTATACTTAACTCTAGACAGGTGGAGTGATACAACCCAGACCATATTATACTTCACTCTAGACAGGTGAAGTCAAACAACCCAGACCATATTATACTTCACTCTAGGCAGGGGAAGTGAAACAACCCAGACCATATTATACTTCACTCTAGACAGGTGAAGTGATACAACCCAGACCATATTAAACTTAACTCTAGACAGGTGGAGTGTTACAACCAAGTCCATATTATACTTCACTCTAGGCAGGTGAAGTGATACAACCCAGACCATATTATACTCCACTCTAGGCAGGTGAAGTGATACAACCCAGACCATATTATACTTCACTCTAGGCAGGTGAAGTGATACAACCCAGACCATATTAAACTTAACTCTAGACAGGTGGAGTGATACAACCAAGTCCATATTATACTTCACTCTAGGCAGGTGAAGTGAAACAACCCAGACCATATTATACTTCACTCTAGACAGGTGAAGTGAAACAACCCAGACCATATTATACTTCACTCTAGGCAGGTGAAGTGAAACAACCAAGACCATATTATACTCCACTCTAGGCAGGTGAAGTGATACAACCCAGACCATATTATACTCCAGTCTATACAGGTGAAGTGATACAACCCAGACCATATTATACTCCAGTCTAGACAGGTGAAGTGATACAACCCAGTTCATATTATACTTCACTCTAGACAGGTGAAGTGATACAACCCAGA